TTGTTATAATATGCACTGTGAAACATTCACCACAAGCAAGATAGTAAACATGTCCATTATTTCACACAGTTAACTTTTTTGTGTGTTTGTGATGAGAACACTTAGAATCAAGTCTCACATGTACAGTATAGTTGCTACCTGTAGTTAACGTGCTACACATTAGATCAGCAGAACATATTCATCTTGTGTTAACTTTGTACCCCTTGACCAAAATCTCCCCATATTCCTTTACCCCCATCCCCAATCATTCTACTCTGCTTCTATGAGTTTGACTGTTTTATGTACTACATCGAGAGAGAAATGTCTATTGAGGTTGTTAGGCCATTTTTAAATTGGGTTATTTGTGTTTTTGTTTCTTTGCTACTGAGTCATATGAATTCCTTGGATCATTTGAATATTAACTCTTTATCACATATGTGGTTTGCAAATATTTCCTCCCATTCTTTAAAGTTGATTTTCCATCATGCTGATTATTTGTTATGCAGAATCGTTTAAGTTTCACATAGTCTGATTTCTTTCTTTTTGTTCTTGGTACCTATCCTTTTGGTGTTGTATCCAAAAATTATCTTCTTCATTTATGCTTTTATTATTTGAGTCTTTGATCTTAGTCTATTAGGAGTTTTTTCACTTTGTTTATCTAATGACACTGAGCTGCACTGACTTTTGAGACGGTTGATGCAAGTAAACTGAAACTGTTTTTGTTAGAGAGGATGGATAGCTAGTTATGAGTGGGAAGGGAAGCCCCTAAAAAGAGGAGGTCTGGAAAATGTAAAAACCCAGAAACCACCAGAAACATTTCTGCTACCTATGAGCAGAGGGAAAAGAAAATATCTATGCAGAAAAGCTCACCCCAAAAATGCTCTTTAAGATACACAGTAATTGCTCACCCTGCTGTTAACCTATCAGAATGCAGCTATCTACATGCTGATAAGGAGAGAAAGAGGGCAAAGAATAAATTCCTAAGAGATAAACAGGTGCAATAAGCACCCGTGTATTAATGACTATATTACCTTCCTGGGGTGGCAGTAATGAGCAGTGCCACCCTGAGGTAGGATTTGTATCCAACACCAGGTCTGCACATGTGCATCAACTGGTAGTAAGGGAGAATGCCACCAACCTGGAGCAGTAACTGGATAGGTTAAAGGTGGGAACTAAAGGCAGAAGCAGGAAACTAAACAAAGACAAAACAAAGACTTAAGGCAGAGACAGGAACTTAAGGAAAGAGTCGGATGTAACAAAGACCACAATGCTGAACTCAGGGTTGCCGGTCCATTGTCTTTTACGAAAACTGCTCTGCCTCTTTAAATGAACTCTGCTGCCGCTGAAGCCTTGCTGCTACTGTTGCTGCTCCCAGTCAGGTCAGCCCACTCCTCTCTTGGAGTGTATGTCCTTCCATAAACTCTCTGCTCTTTATTTTCCTTCAATAAAACTTTGCTTACATTACTAATGGTGTCTTGGCCAAATTCTTTCTCCCAAGTAAGACAAGAACCAAGAACTCCTACACTTCTCAGTGACATTCTTATTTCTCCTCAAAGTGTCTATTGTGGCCACAAGTAGTGGCTCATGCCTGTAATCCAGGCACTTTGGGAGGCCAAGGTGGGCAGAATGTTTGAGCTCAGGAGTTCAAAACCAGCCTGGGAAGATGGTGAAAGCCCATCTCTACCTAAAAAATAAAAAAATAAAAATAAAAATAAAAATTAGCGAGGCAAGATGTTGCATTCCTGTAGTCCCAGCTACTTTGTGTGGGGGTGGGAATGAGGTGGGAGGATCACTTAAGCCCAGAAGATCAAGGTTGCAGTGAGCCGAGATCATGCCACTGCATTCCAGCCTGGATGACAAAGTGAGACACTATCTTAAAACAAAAAACGAAAAACAAAAACAAAAACAAAAATTGTCTCTTGTTGAAGTTTTTGTTAAAATAGGGTGCTGTCTTAATGGACTCCTGGGTTTCTACAGGGGTAATCCTGCCTGTCAGTGTTTGTCAGTACCTATGTTTCTTTGGGAATGTAATGATCTTATCCACCATTTGCTAATGTCAGCAGTCATTAGAAGCTTTCTTAATATAATTTCTTGAGTATTTCACAATATGATGTAAATTTCTGAAGGTCTCCTCTGTGGCATTTTTCCAGCTCTAATCTCCTTGCTTCTCTCTGAACTCCTGGTTCTGCATCTCACTTTATTGATGACTTTGGAAAAATTCCATTTTCCTGGCAAAAGTATAGTGATTTATGAAAGATTCAATAGACACCTTAAGTTACAGACATTAAATGAAATAATGAATGTCTAGTCTTAAAAATAAGACCAAGTATATAGGAATTTGACAATACAGCTATAATTATTATTACCAATATAGCATAATAATCTCTGAAAATTATACTTTTTTGTTTGTTTTTTGAGACAGTCTCACTGTGTTGCCCAGGCTAGAGTGCAGTGGTGTGATCTCAGCTCACTGCAACCATCTCCTCCCCAGTTCAAGCAATTCTCCTGCCTCAGCCTCCCAAGTAGCTGGGATTACAGGTGTGTGACACCATGCTCAGCTAATTTGTACTTTTAGTAGAGTTGGGGTTTCACCTTGTTGGCCAAGCTGGTCTCAAACTCCTGACTTCAAGTGATCTACCCACCCTGGCCTCCCAAAGTGTTGGGATTACAGGCGTGAACCACCACACTCAGCTGAAAACTATACCTTTTAAAGAGGACAAATGAGTTAACAGCATAAATGAATCTGTCCCACTGTGTTCATTAATCTGTTGCATACTCTCTTAAGATAATGAAATGCCTTGTCTAAGAATGACACCTTATAACCAGCTTTTGTAAAACATATTTTGGCATTTTAAGAATTGTTATTTATATTAAAAGTCATCTCTTACTGCTGGCTATTTTTCTGCTTTATATGTTAAGAAATAATAAGACATCATAATAAAGAGAAGCGGTGAATTTTGACATAAGCACATCAAAACAGCCCCGAAAAAATGCAAAATCTACAGTGTATATTTTTAAAGAATAAATACTAATGTACAAAACACAGCTGATGTGACCCAAAATTAGAAATTTTCATTTTTTTCTTTGAGAACATGATTCTGTAAGCAAAAGTCTACTTAAAGGAGTTCTAATTTTTAAAATAAAGGTGTAGATTTTATTAGCATAAACCTTCCGTAGATAATAAATGTACTAACTGACCAATATGTTTAAAAAATCTATTTGAAGACCTTAGCAGGCAAAAAAAGTCAGTAAAATCTGGAAAGAAGTTGAATCTTGAGAAAATTATAGTGGAGGTTATTCAGTATCCTCTTAACTTGGTATCCTCTGTGGCTCAGGGCGTGGAACGATCGGAATGTAAAACGAGTCCTGCTGGGTTGAGACATTAGACAACTGAGTCTGGGGCCAACACATACACTAAAAATTAAATAAAGTTCCAGGAAACAGAAAGACTTTGAGGAAGAAGCATGCAAATTTATTTATAAACTCAGCCTGGCGCCATGACTAACATTGAAATATTCTTACAAGGAAGAAATTCCAAGGAGTCAGGTGGGATACCAAAAGGCAACAGGATGAGGTAATTAAGCAGAAGTTTTAGCAGTTTCCTACTATAGGAACAATAGAGTTTGCAGTTCAAAAGGAGATGAGTCACCTGCCTGCCAGTAAGAAAATTTAACACACTTTAGAAGACAATTGAAAGATCAAGAATCACTAACGTATAGAATGCATGATATTTGATATGCAATAAAAGAATTACGAGGGCTGGGCACAGTGGCTCATGCCTGTAAACCCAGCACTTTGGGAGGCCGAGGCGGGTGGATCACTTGAGGTCAGGAGTTCAAGACCAGCCTGATCAACATGGTCAAACCCCGTCTCTACTAAAAATACAAAATTAGCCAGTCATGGTGGCGCATGCCTGTAATCCCAGCTACTTGGGAGACTGAAGCGGGAGAATTGATTGAACCTGGGAGGCGGAGATTGCACTCCGGCCTGGGCAACAAGAATGAAACTCCATCTCAAAAATAAAAAATGAAAAGAATTATTAAACATGCAGGGAACACAAAAATGTGACTCAAAACCTGAAGGGAAAAACTTCTATATAAACTGACCTTAAGCTATCCCAGTTGTTGCCATTTGCAGAAAAAGATTTTTGAGCACTATTATTAAAAAAAAATCCAAGGACATATACAAGATAGAATAAGAAAATATGTTTATTTTGCAAAAATAAATGTGTTATCTCAATGTATAAATAAGAACTGGAAAACTGGAAATAGTATAACTATAGAGTTTATCTGACAAATAAGGTCTTGAGCTCTACTATGCAACATGGTACCTATAGCTAGCACTACTGTATGGTATACTTGAAACTTGCTAACAGAGTAGATTTTATGTTAAGGGTTTTTATCAATAATGATAATTATGATGATTCTAGAAGCAGAAAGAATCTTTTAAAATTGGTGGAAATGTCAATGGCCTTGACGGTGGTGATGATTTCATGAATGCATATTTATCCCTAAATTCATCTAAATGTAAACATTAGATATGCACAGCTTTTTACAAGTCAGTTATACCTCAATAAAGGGATGTTACACACACATCCAAAAAAAAAAAAAAACCCAAAAAGCAAAACAGAACAAAACAAAACAGAGGCCTTTATATGTGTGGATTAGTATAAGTCAATGTATTTCCTATTTCTCTTCTTTAACAGGGCTTAGAAGTAATGACACCACACTAGCAATGAACATAACTAGAATCCAGATCTTGATTTCTAAATATCATTCTCCAATGAAAGGAATCTGGATTCTTGAAGAAATGGCTAATTCCAGAACTGGGGAAGGGAAAATACACAATGAGCTTGAAATATCTGGTTGGACCAAAAGTAAATGGAAGCTTTAGGAAAAAGAAAGCCATATTCTTGTGTATCAGCCACGGTTCTCTAGCGGGACAGAACTAATAGGAGATATGTGTGTGTGTGTGTGTGTGTGTGTGTGTGTGTGTGTGTGTGTGCATGCGCGCGCGCACGTATGGATGTGTGTGCCTGTACTTACTGTAACTTCTCCTTTAAGACTAAAGGAAATCTGACAAAACACATGAAGTCCAAGGCGCATAGCAAGAAATGTGTGGATTTAGGCGTCTCAGTAGGTTTAATAGATGAACAGGATACAGAAGAATCAGATGAAAAACAGAGATTCAGTTATGAGCGGTCTGGATATGATCTTGAAGAATCTGATGGCCCAGATGAGGACGATAATGAAAACGAAGATGATGACGAGGACAGCCAGGCTGAATCAGTTCTGTTGGCTGCACCCTCGGTCACAGCCAGCCTGCAGCACCTCCCATCTAGAAGTAGCCTTCAGGACTCTGTGAGTGCTGATGAGGACAGCAGAATCACCGATGGCTTTTCTGGGGTACAGACGGACCCAATGGACATTCTGCCCAGGGCGTTGCTCACCAAAATGACCGTTCTGAGCACAGCACAGTCTGACTACAGTAGAAAGACTCTCCGGGGAAGGCCAGGCAGCGCACTGCAAGAGATGAAAATGACACAATTCCGTCTGTAGACGCTTCCAGGTCCCCTGAGGCTGCACCCAGGTCCCCGTGTCATCAGATGTCTGTGGACTACCCTGAATCTGAAGAAATTCTGAAAAGTTCTGTAGCAGGAAAAGCTATTGCTGTAACACAGAGCCCGTCATCTGTAAGACTTCCTCCTGCTGCCACCGAGCACAGCACCCAGACAGCAGCGGGGATGCCTTCTGTGGCCTCGCCACATCCGGACCCTCAAGAACAGAAGCAGCAAATAACCCTACAGCCAACTCCAGTCGCACTGCCTCCCACCCTGTGTCTGCTTCCCAATAAAAGAAGAAAGCATTAAAAAAAAAAAAAAAATATATATATATATATATATATATATATATATACCCACACACACACTATACACACACACACACACTACATATATATATGTGTGTATATATATACGTATATATATACACATATATATATGTATATGTATATATGTCTAGCCTAGTCTTTTTGCATTCATATGCCTGCTTTTATCCTAACTGTGCTGTCAGCTGATTAGATTCTGCCCACCTAGATTAAGGGTGGGTCTGTCTTTCCCAGTTTACTGACTCAAATGTTAATCTCCTTTGGCAGTGCCCTCACAGACATACCCAGGATTAATACTTTGCATCCTACGATCCAATCAAGTTGACACTCAGTATTAACCATCACACCTGATAAATTAATAATAACAGATTACACACTTGGACTTTGGGTTCCATATCCACATTATACATTTATTCTCAAAGTAGAGTCTATTTCACATGCTTTTGAATGTGATTCGGGGTTTTTTAACCGTAACACTATTGACGTTTTGGAGCTGATCATCGTTTGTGGTGGGAGGCTGTGCTGTGCAGTGTAGGAGTGTAGGATGTTTAGCAGCATCCTTGGTGTCTCCCAAGTGGATGCCAGTAGCATCTCTCCTCCACACTTACGAAAACCCAAAATGCCTCCCGACATTGTTTTTCTTGCTAGCAGGCTGATCGTTAAATTGTGGACTTTAAAAAGTTACATAAATGCAAAGTAGATAATTTGAAAACTTTACAAACATAAAAGTAATGAGCTCTCCATGATTACAATATTTTTGCCCTCCTGAGTGATTACAGTGTGGATCTCATAACAGGGATGCAGGCATCGAGTGATGGTCTACATGCTGTAGAAAGCTACATAACTATTGGTAATTAAGATCTTTTAGGAGCTGCTATGTTTGAGCACTCAGTTTTTCTAGTTTTTACGCTCTCTTTTCAGATCGTTTCACCCAGACTGCACTCCTGTTACATTATGCATGTCTTAGTTACATTGCATTTTAAAATTTGCAGATTTCTCAGATCTGGGGTGGAACCCTTTCATTCCTAGAGGCTAATTGAAAAAAGTTTTGTTCCTGAACAGGGGCTGATTATGGGGTTTTGGTGGGGGAACATACCATGGAATCAATGCCATAATCAATAAAATTTAAATTATTAAATGCTCCTGAACGGTTGTGCCAAAGCGCCTTGCAAATGTTATAAATTGTGACATGTGAACATTCTCTTCTTTGCGGATGCATTGAAAGAGCAAACCAAGATCAATAACAGCAATATCTTTAGGGTTTTCTAGCTCCTAGAGTACTTTTGTTCTGGGGACGCAGTCGTACCAGTTTAAGTTCTTTTTCTGTTATTGAAAGACATCCCCAGAGCAGCAGCATCTGTCACTACAGAAGAGCATCTTGGTTTTAAAAATAGCACCTGCTGAAGTTTTCTTAATCTGCCATGAAGTAATCGTGTGCCATTTGGACTTTTGCCTGTTCACTTAATCTCTTATGCACATATTGCTCGACAGAAACATAATTTACTGTTTTCATTTTTTCTTAATTTAAAAATATTATCAGCTCTTGAGAGTGAACAGAAATAACAATTAGTAGAAAATAATGGTTGCAGAATACTAAAAGATCCGCAATAAAGACTGCAGTTGTGTGTAAAAAATTGTCACAGTACTTTGCCGTACCCCTTTTTAAAATGGGTGGTTTACACTGTTGTGGGAGTGTAAATTAGATATTAGTTCAACCATTGTGGAAGACAGTGTGGCAATTCCTCAAGGACCTAGAAATAGAAATTCCATTTGACCCAGCAATCTCATTACTAGGTATATATATCCAAAGGAATATAAATTGTTCTATTATAAAGACACATGCATATGTGTGTTCATTGCGGCACTTTTTACAATAGCAAAGACCTGGAATCAACCCAGATGCCCATCGATGATAGACTGGATAAGGAAACTGTGTCACATATATACCAGGGAATACTATGCAGCCATAAAAAATGATGAGTTTGTGTCCTTTGTAGGCACATGGATGAATCTGGAAACCATCATTCTCAGCAAACTGACACAAGAACAGAAAATCAAACACCACATGTTCTCACTCGGGCGAGTGTTGAACAATGAGAACACATGGACACAGGGAGGGGAGCATCACACACTGGGGTCTGTTGAAGGGGACTAGGGGAGGGACAGTGGGGAGTAAGGGGTTACGGAGGGATACCATGGGGAGGAATGCCAGACATAGATGACATGGATGGAGGCAGCAAACCACATTGCCATGTATGTACCTATGCAACAATCCTGCATGTTCTGCACATGTACCCCAGAACCTAAAGTGCAATTAAAAAAAATATATAAATATATAATATATATACATTTTATATATATATACATCATATATATATACACATTATATATATACACACACATATACACACATTATATATATACACACACATATATACACACATTATATATATATACACATATATACACACATTATATATATATATACACACAGATATACACACACACATTATATATATATACACACATATACACACAAATTATATATATATACACACATATATACACATATATATACACACACATATGTATATATATACACATATATATACACACATACACACACATATATATATACACACATATATACACATATGTATATATACACACACATATATATACACACACATATATACACACACACATATATATACACACACATATATATACACACACATATACACACATATATATATACACATATATACACACACATATATATACACACACATATATATACACATATATATACACACATATATATACACATATATACACACACATATATATATACACACACATTATATATATACACATATTTATATACACACTTTATATACATATATATATATATATATATATATATATATATATAATAAAACGTTAGGAGGGTGAGTTTTTTGCAAAAAACAAAAAAATGAAAAAAAAATGCTGTTTCAATCTTCCACCCTTTTCACTGTGCTGTGGCATTTTGACTTGCCTATGGCAAAAGTGACCTTGTCTGATTCTGAACCCAGGATTCATGATCTTTTGCAGCTTTGGCAATTGCTGCTTTTGTGTTCCTGTGTGTGTGTGAAGAAGCTGAAGCTTGCAGGTCCATATCTTTGCCACATCTGACAACCAGCCAAATGCCAGACTTGGGAGTGAGTTCATCCTAGGTTATCCAACTGTCAGCCAATCTGCCAGCTACTGCTAGCTAACTGCAGACTCATAATGAGCCCAGCTGAGTTTGACCAGAGGCATTGCCCAATGGACCCCCATAATTGTGAGCTAAAAAAGTTTGTTGTTTAAAGCTACCAACTTTGAGTATGATTTGCTACATAGCAAAAAGTAACTGGTAAGAATATTGTTTCATAGAAGTAAGGTGATACAGTAACAAATTTAAATCTTGCATCTATTTTCTAACTCATCTTCTAGAATGCAAATTTAAAAGCAGCAATCTCATTTTTCTTTCTTTTTTGTTTTTTATTGCACTTTAGATTCTGGGGTACATGTGCAGATCATGCAGGATTGTTGCATAGGTACACACATGGCAATGTCATTTACTGCCTCCATCCCCCTGTCACCTACATCTGGCATTTCTCCACATGTTATACCTCCCTGACCTCCCACTGTCCCTCCCCTAGTCCCCCCCAACAGCCCCCAGTGTGTGATGCTCCCCTCCCTCTGTCCCTGTGTTCTCATTGTTCAACACCCACCTATGAGTGAGAACATGCAGTGTTTGATTTTCTGTTCTTGTGTCAGTTTGCTGGAATTATGGTTTCCAGATTCATCCATGTCCCTACAAAGGACACAAACTCGTCATGTTTTATGGCTGCATAGTATTCCATGGTGTATATGTGCCACATTTTGTTTGTCCAGTCTGTCGTCGAAGGCCATTTGGGTTGGTTCCAAGTCTTTGCTATTGTAAACAGTGCCACTATGAACATACATGTGCATGTGTGTTTTTAATAGAATGACTTATAATCCTTTGGGTGTATACACAGAAATGGGATTGCTGGGTCAAATGGAATTTCTATTTCCAGGTCTTTGAGGAATTGCCACACTGTCTTCCACAGTGGTTGAACTAGTTTATACTCCCACTAACAGTGTAAAAGTGTTCCTATTTCTCCACTTCCTCTCCAGTGTCTGTTGTCTCCAGATTTGTTAATGATCGCCATTCTAACTGGCATGAGGTGGTATCTCATTGTGGTTTTGGTTTGCATTGCTCTAATAATCAGTGATGATGAGCATTTTTTCATGTGTTTTTTGGCCTCAATTATGTCTTCTTTTAAAAAGTGTTCATATCCTTTGCCCACTTTTGGATGGGCTTGTTGGTTTGTTTCTTGTAAATATGTTTTAGTTCTTTGTAGATTGCCAAAATTTTGTCCCATTTTCTTGGTTGCTGGTTCACTCTAATAATTGTTTCTTTTGCTGTACAGATGCTCTGGAGTTTAATTAGGTTCGATTTGCCTATTTTGGCTTTTGTTGCCAATGCTTTTGGTGTTTTAGTCATGAAGTCCTTGCCTATGCCTATATCCTGAATTGTTTTGCCTAGGTTTTCTTCTAGGGTTTTTATGGTGTTAGGTCTTATGTTTAAGTCTTTAATCCATCTGGAGTTAATTTTAGTGTAAGGTGTCAGGAAAGGGTCCAGTTTCTGCTTTCTGCACACTGCTAGTCAGTTTTCCCAACACCATTTATTAAACAGGGAATTATTTCCCCATTGCTTGTTTTTGTCAGGTTTGTGAAAGATCATATGGTTGTAGATGTGTAGCATTGCCTCCAGGGCCTCTGTTCTGTTCCATTGGTCTATATCTCTGTGTTGGTACCAGTACCATGCTGTTTTGGTTACTGTAGCCTCGTAGTATAGTTTGAAATCAGGTAGCGTGATGCCTCCAGCTTTGTTCTTTTTGCTTAGGATTGTGTTAGCTATGTGGGGTCTCC